ATCCGCTCCCCCAGCGCTGCTGGGGGTTAATTAATCGTGTTAATGATTGTGGAGAGACCCCAGTTGTGACCCCAGTGATCCCCTCCCTTCCCCAGTCCTGCCACTGCCACTGCCTGTGCTCCATGTTTTAGCTGGAATTGTGTTTTAGCTGGAATCCTGTTTTAGCTGGAATCCTGTTTTAGCTGGAATCATGGAATGTGCTCAATTCCCAATAATTGCTCTTCTTTAATTGACTCATTAATGTCACCACGGTGTCACCCCTGGCTCTATCCCAGCACCAGTCCTGCCACTGCCTGTGCTCCGTGTTTTAGCTGGAATCATGGAATGTGCTCAATTCCCAATGTATTATTGCTCTTGTTTAATTGATTTATTTCATTAATGTCACCACGGTGTCACCCCTGGCTCTGTTCCAGCACCAGTCCTGCCACTGCCTGTGCTCCGTGTTTTAGCTGGAATCCTGTTTTAGCTGGAATCATGGAATGTGCTCAATTCCTGATGTATTCTTGCTCTTGTTTGATTGACTCATTAATGTCACCACGGTGTCACCCCTGGTTCTGTCCCAGCACCGTGGGACCTCTCCCTCAACCCTCCCCCTGTCTCCTCCTCCAGCTGAGCTTGGAAAAATCACATCCGGATGTCCCCGAGGAGGTTTTGGGTTAATTTTTACCCACACGGGGCCGGGCTCTCCTGGAACAGCCGGGAATCCCAGCCCTGGAGCCGGCACTGGGTCACATCCCAGTGAAACCAGGCCCTGATAACCTTCCCCCTCCTTCCCTGCTCCGTGTTTGCCATCCCAGCCTCTGGATCGTGCTCCCCCCGTGGGAACCACATGTGGATATCACTGGGAAAAGAGGGGTCAGGGACCCCAAAATGGGGTAAAACCCAGCTTCAGTTGGCCTAAAATAGGGTAAAACCCTAAAACTAAAAACTAAACCCACCCCAAAATGGAGCCGGAGAACATCAAACCTCCCCTATAAAGCCCCCAAACCCCTCAAAAGCGTCCCTGGAGAACCTCAGACCACCCTTAAAAATCATCTGGAGACCTTCAAGCCACCCTAAGAAGCCCCAAAACCACCCCTGAAGAACCTCAACACCCTCCCCCTTCCCCAAAAAGCCCCCAAAAAGGTTCTGGAGACCTTCAAAGAGGTTCTAGAGACTCTCAAACCACCCCGAAAACCCCTCAAAGCTCCCCCACCCCAAAACCCCCAAACCTGCTCCTGAAGAGCCTCAAACCACCCCAGAGAGGGTCTGGGGGACCCCAAGCCACCCCAAATGTGGTTCCCACCCTGAATGGGGGGAAGGGGGGCTGTCACATTCCCCCCCCCCGTGCCGCTGTCACAGCCCCTCCCAGTCGTGCCCATCCCTCGGCACTGGGAGGGACAGGAGGGGACAGAGGCACAGGAGGGGACAGCGGGGTGTCCCAGGAAGGGGCTGGGCCCCCCCCCCCCAGTCCCGGCAGGAGGAGCAGGACCCGAGCCCAAACCCCCCGGGATGGATGTTAATGATCCCACGGGCTCCTCCCTCCTCTCCCTCGTCGCTCCCTTCCCGGGACAAAGAGCAGCCCGAGAGCAAACACGGCCCTGGCACTGCCCCCGTGCCGGGAAACGGGCACTTGGCACCCGCCGGGCTTTTGTCAGAGCTGGGAAGTGCTCGGAGCCTGCGGAGCTGGGGCACGGCCGCGCCCTGCGGGGCAGGGAGGGCACCGCGGGCGCCCCCCCCCCCGTGTCCCTGGAACCCCGGCGTGTCCCTGCTCCGGGGGATCGGGCATTCCCCGGGATGGCTCCACTCCCAGTGGGGTCCTGGAGGGATCCAGAGCCCTCCTCCCACCCTGCCAGGCTCGATCCAGGGATGTGCTGAGCTCTCCCTGGAGCTGCCTCTGCTTCCACTGCCCCGGGGTCAGGGATTCCCCGGGCTGGCTCTGCTCCTGCTGGAGTCCTGGAAGGATCCAGAGCCCTCCCACCCGGGGTCTGGGATCCACCAAGATCTCCCTGGAGCTGCCTCTGCTTCCACTGCCACGGAGTCAGGGATTCCCTGGAATGGCTTTGCTCCCAGTGGGGTCCTGGAAGGATCCAGAGCCCTCCCACCCTGCCAGGCTGGATCCAGGGATGTGCTGAGCTCTCCCTGGTTTATTAACAGCACTTAATTAGCAGCAAGTGCCAGAGCTTCCAACACCCCCAGCAACCCACCGGGAGCCCCCCGGGGTCGGCTCCCCCCTTCCAGCAGCGGGGAGTGATTCCCTGAGGAATGCTGCTCCTCCCGGGAGCCCCCCGTGGAGGCAGCTCGGGGGGGGACTGGCCCAGCGGGGCAGGGAAGTGTCACATCCCGAGTTTTGGGGGTCACTTGGCAAGGACGCGGCGTGGGACTGGGAGCTCGGGATCAGGAATGGGATGGGGGCAGAGCTGGGTGGGCTCTGGGCTCGGGGGGAGTGTCCTCATCCCAGTATGAACCAGTCAGCCTGGGGAGGGGCGGTGGGAGGGACGGGCTCAACCATCCCGGGTCCGTGATTATCCCTGGGATAAACCCCATCCCGAGTCCTCTCTCCTCCCGGGGCCGCGTGGATCGGCATTCCCGGGGTGGCCGGAGGGTGACATCCCGCCGGGTCACTTCTCCTCCCTCTCGGCGGCCCCGCAGAGGTTCGGGTGCTCTGCCAGCGTCACCCTGACTTTCTTCTTCTCCTTGAAGCGCCCCGAGTGGGAGACCTTGACGTGCTTCCCCTTGGTGCTCTTGTCCACGAGCTTCTCCAGGCGGGCGGCGAAGCCGGGGGGTCCCTCGGGGCCGGTGCCCTCCTGGGGGTCCCCCCCGGGGGCCGCGGGGCCGTCGGGGGTCTCGTAGAGCACCGTGGGCGCTGCCTGGCGCTTCCTCAGGAACGTCAGCTTCCACCAGCCGTGGCTGTCGGCCATCCTGGAACGGGAATTTGGGGAGGGTCGTGCTCTCTCCTGGGGGGGGGAGGTGTTCCTTGGACCCCCAGGATGTGATTCCAGAGGGATGGAAGCCGGCGCTGGCTTCGCTTGCGGTGCTTCCCCGGTGGGATCCGCGTGGGATCGGGGCTGGGGGAGGACCCCGCGGGTACCAGGAGGGGATGCTCCATGCCTTGGGAATTCCGCGGCGCCGGGAAAAGGCCGCTGGCAGCGCCCGGGAGGTGCCTTATCAGCCACGTGTAGCGGGGCAGGGAGGGAGCCCGGTGAGCAAACAGGAACAGGAACTGGGAGCAGGTGGGAGCTGGGGAGGGGCCGGGGTCCCACCCCGGGGTTGGGGTTGCCTCTCGCTGGAGGGGACGGGCGGGAGCGTTGGAAAGGCTTGGGAATGTTCCGGGAACGCTCCAGGAAGGCTCCAGCGATCCAGGAAGGCTCCCGGAGCCGCGCGTGGCTCCAGGGCAGGAACCCAGGAAGGCGGAGGAGCCAAAGGCTTCCCTGGCCGCGGGCAGGGACGGGATTCCCGGCGCCCTGTGCCCATCCCGGGGGTCGGCGCGGCCCCGTGTCCCCCCCGCGGGGCTGGGCCACCCCCGCTCCCTCCCTGCCCGGCCCCTCCCCGCTGTCACCCCCTGGCATCAATTTGGGGGGATAAAAAAAACCCCCTTGTCCCCGCTGGGAATGGGGGCGAGGTCACAAAAATTAGGGCCACCAGTGGGGTGGTGGCCCCTGTGTCCCCCCCCACGCCCCCCCTCCGTGCCAGAGCCAGGTGGGGCCACCCCCGATTGGTGTCCTCGGGGTGTCCCGGGAGTGTCCCCGGGGTTCCCACACCCCGTCCCGACCTCGGACACCCCGTCCCTGTACCTGCTGCTCCCACGCCCGGGGTGTCCCGGGGGTGTCCCGGGGGTGTCCCGGGGGTGTCCCGGCCGGGGGGCGCGGGCAGGTGCCGTTCACCTGCCGCCGTCCCGGTGTTCCCGTCAAGGTGAACCCGCTCCCAAACCCCTCCTGCCGGAGCAAACAGCGGGGCCGGGCCAGGCTCGGCTGAATATTCATGACGGGGAGCGGTGCCAGCGCCGCCCGGGTGGCCCTGGGTGGCTCTGAGTGACCCCGGGTGGCCACCACCGCCCCGACGGCCCCGAGGTGGCACATGGACCCGAGGTCGGGCAGCTCAGGGGTCCAGGGCTCCTGTTCCCGGTGGGATCGGCCGAAACGGGGCCGGTTCGTGCCTCCCGCTGCTCCCCCCGGGGTGTCCCCGCACGGGGTGTGTCCCCACGGGACGTGTCCCCGCGTGGGGACGAGCTGGTGGCTCCCCAACTCTGGACCTGGGGGTGGCACGTCCCGGGTCCCTCGAGAAGTGCAGAGCCAAGATCCCCCTGGGAACGGCAGAGGGTATCCCAGGTCCCTTGGGGATTCCTGGGAGAGGATAAAAGTGATCCCAGATCCCGGGGGGGGAGTCAGAACTGATCCCAGGTCCCTCATGGGTCCCATGGGGAAGAGTTAGAACTGATCCCGGGTCCCTCGGGAATCCCTGGGAGGGGTTAGAACTGATCCCTGGTCCCTTCTGGATCCCTGTGGAGAATCTAGAACTGATCCCAGATCCCTCATGGATCCATGGGGAAGAGTTAGAGCTGATCCCAGGTCCCTTGTTGGGACATCCAGTGTTCCCTGAGGGATCTGGGATCTGCTCTAGGACACCCCCCCAGAGATCCCCAAGGGATGTAGGGCAGGCTCTGGGGCGATGCTGGGATCCCAAGGGGATCTTGGTTCTGTGCTGGGGCATCCAGTGCTTCCCAAGGGATCTGGGATCCCCGAGGGATCCGGGATCTGCTCTGGGGACAACTGGGGATCGCCCCTGGATCTGGGGTGTGCTGGGGACCATGAGGGGCGGCTGTGGGGGTTCCCTGGGGGATTCCCGGCTCTGTCCTGGGGCTTCTCCGGGATCGGGATCGGGATCGGGAACCCCCGAGAGAGACCTCGCACTCCCATTGGTCCGGACCGGACCCGCCCCTTCCCCTCTCCAGCCAATCGCGACGCCGGCACGTGGCGCTGCCGCCGGGGTACCGCCTTCTGATTGGTGGAAAGGCGGGCCCTTTGGACAGAGCGCGTTTTGGTTGGCTGAGGCGTGCCCGTCGAGGCAGGGGATTGGCTGGAGGGGGGCAAGGCGGAAGTGGCGCTGATGGCGACATGGAGGTGTTGGATCGGGACGGGAGCGGGATCGGGATCGGGAAAGGGGCCGGGAGCGGGAGCGGGGCCGCGTTCGGGGAGCAGGGAAGGGCCCCAGGCCCGGGGCAGCGGGGACAGGCCGTGCCAGGGGGCTGGAGCGGGGGTGTCCCCCCTGACCCCGCTGCCGATCCCGGTGCCGCTCCCGGTGCCGATCCCGGTGCCGCTCCCGGTCCCGATCCCGGTCGGGCTCCTCCAGCCCCGCTCCCTCCGTGTCCTCCCCGCAGGTCCCTCCCCAGGACTACCGGAACGTGCCCATCGACATCCAGACCGGCAAACTCCTGGGTGCGGTGCGGGAAAGTCATCCCGGGATTTGGGGACCCCTCTGTGTCCCCCCGGGTGACCCCCCTGTCCCCCCCTGTCCCCAGACTGGCTCGTGGACAGGCGCCACTGCAGCCTGAGGTGGCAGAGCCAAGTGCAGCTGATCCGGCAGCGGATTGACGTGGCCATCCAGGACATGCCGGAGAACCAGGAGATCAAACAGCTCCTGGAGGGATCCTGTGAGTGGCATCGGGGGGCTGGATCCCTTGGGAGAGCCGGGAGACGGGCTGGGAGCCTGTTCCCAAGGGTTTGGTGGGGGTTTGGTCTCCCCTGAACCAGGAGATGGGAACTGGTGGAGTCGGGAGTTGGGGCTGAGCTGGGAGGGGGTGACACCCCCTGGACTTCCCGGGGTGATCCCAGACTTCCCAGTGATCCCAGCCCACCCCCTCACCCCAGATCTGCACTACTTCCACTGCCTGAGGATCGTGGAGATCCTCAAGGGCACCGAGGCCTCCACCAAGAACCTCTTTGGCCGTTACTCGTCCCAGCGGATGAAGGTGAGACGGGGCTGGGGGGGCTCAGCCTTCCTCACCATCCCCCTCTTCCTCACCCTCCTCATCCTCTGCCTCCTTTTCCTCCTTTTTTTCCTCCTTTTCCTTATTGTCCTCCTTTTTTTCCTCCTTTTTTTCTTCCTTTTTTTCCTCCTCTTCTTCCTCACCTTCCTCATCATCCTCTGCCTCCTCTTCTTCCTCACCCTCCTCATCCTGCTCTTCCTTCCCCCAGGACTGGCAGGAGATCGTGGCCCTCTATGAGAAGGAGAACACCTACCTGGGTAAGGCAGAGGGGGCTTGGGGGGCTCTGGAAGGACCCTGGGGGGTGGTGGGGGGTGGTCTCCAAACTGGGATGGGGAAGGGACAGGATGTGCTGGAATTCCAAATCCCGCCGGGGTGGAGCTCTGAGGAGTCTGGGACACCCCAAGGCCCGTGTGAGTGGGTGGAATTCAGCCTCCAGCCTGGGATGGGGTGGTCAGGACACAATGGGATGGGACCCCCAGGTTGTCTGGGGCATCCCAAGGACCCCCACGGGTGGGTGAGATCCAACCCCCAGACTGGGACGGGGAAGGGACAGGATGTGCTGGAATGCCAAATCCCACCAAGGTGGAGCTCTGAGGGGTCTGGGATGCCCTGAGACCCCCCTGGGTGACCCCTCCATGCCCTGGGTGCCCCCCCCAGCCGAGCTCTCCAGCCTCCTGGTCCGCAGCATCAGCTACGAGATCCCGTCCCTGCGGAGGCAGCTCGGGAGGTGCCAACAGGCCCAGCAGGACTTTTCCCGGCGGGAAGAGGAGTGTCAGGTGGGAGCAGCCGAGCTCAG